TCTTCTTATTTTTACATTCCTGTATTTGAAGGAATATTTTAAGGGTTCATCAAGAATGCTCAACTCTGACGGAAAAGTTTGGCATCTTGAGTCCTTTTCTTCTTTTTTAGTCATGGTGTTGTCAGTTTATTTTCGACTTATGAGCTTGAATGTCCCTTTAATATCTTTCGCCTCTCTGTTGGAAAGCCCAAGATGTATGGATACATCCGGATTTAAATAAACAAAGACCATCTAAAGATAATGCCTTCAAAGAAAATTAATGTTTGGCTGGAGTAGTTTAATACTTAGTAATACATAAATTTTAAAACCTAAAATCCTTCAATTTATTTATTTATTTTAGCAAAGTAGAAATTAAAAAAAAAAAAAAAAAACAAAACCAAACATTTTGACGTCAGTGTTAGGTGAGGTATTGAGTCTTTTAAGTTGGTTCCTTTCGTAAATATTCAACACGCTTTCGGATTTACAAACATTCAAATAAACGACGGATACCAGACTATAATAGTATTAAAAGTACATGTCAACACATATGACGTCACAAAGCCATAAAACAGAATTTCACTAAATAATACACAGGCAAAGGAAAGGTTACCAATTCAACACTGTAATTAGATCTTTGAATATTGTTTTATTGGTAAAAATACTGATTTTGTTATGAGTAAATTTAAACCATACTAAATATTATTGTTATTTACATATGCACATTTATGGTTATTCAATCTGTCAATACCTATATTTTGGCATTGAACAAGGTCATGTTTTTCTCTGACTTACGTCTTGACACTAAATCCATTGGATGTTGGATGTGTACTGATTGATATTTTAGTCTCATATACATGATTTTTTTTATTAGTTGTTATTGACTTTGAACCAGCTGTCAGTAACTGCGAGTTCTCTCAGATCTGTACTTTGTGGTTTTTGTTGCTGTTATGAGGGATTTATAAATACCCTGTCACATCGCGTCTGTGTTTTATTGGATGTTATTTCTGCTTTGTATCAATCTAAAGAGTTAAGCCCTTTTTAACTGTCTTTTAAAGTTTGTTCTTATGTTGTACTGTTACACCACTGTCCCAGGTTAGGGGGAGTGTTGGCGCCTTCAAACATATTCAACCCCGCCACATTCTTCATGTGCATGTCCCGAGTCAGAAGCCTGTAATTCAATGGTTGTCTTTGGTAGCTGTCTGTTATATTTGTTTTTCGTTTATTGTTTTGTCATAAATTAAAGCAGGTTGTATGTTTTTTTTTTTATTTGTTTCACATTTTGTCATGTTCGGGAACTTTTATAGATGACTCTACGATACGGATTTTGCTCATTGTTAAGGCCGGACTGTTCTGTATAGTTGCTAAAATCCACGTTATCTGGACTTATTTTATATTGTATAGTTGTCTCATTGGCAATCATAATACAGCTTCCTATTTTATATTAAGTTATTATCAGACATGTAACTGATTAAACACCTTTCACAAGTAGCAAAGATCGTTTTTTTTTTATTATAAAATCACTTACACTTGTTATTCTTTTTAAAACATACTACATTTGTATTTGTCATATTGCTATACCTTAGAAAAATTTGAACGCAGATTGTATCTTCGACGTTCAACATTATTTGATCCAAAGCAAGAATCATATCATCATTTCTTAATATGCATCCAAACAGAGAGCGGTCAATAAGCAAGAGGTTCTTCAGCGAAAGATAGGTCTAGAATATGTCAAGCTTTGCATCGTCCAATGTATTACAAGCTGCGAATAGTGTTATACAGAGAGACTATTAAAGATCGGCCAAAAAACACCAATATCTCAGAAGAACCAACAATATTAAGAAATGAAAAATATAACCACAGACGAGGTTCATGACTAAGAACAAACGCATGAACATGAGGCAAGTTTTAATTAGTTTGTTCAGTAAAACAAGAGTTGTGTTGTGTTGTTTACTGTAAATTCAGAAATTATTGCGTGCATTTATTATTGCGATTTATGAAGAATGGACAATAATGCGAGATTAATTATTGCGATTTCAGGAAATTCTGCATACAGATGCATATATCAGATATCAGAATGCGAGTTCTAATTATTGCGATACTAACCCAGTCGCACTATTCGCATTAATAAAAACCTCGCAATAATTTCTGAATTTACAGTATGTCGAAATATGCATTCAATATTCGCCTCAGGACTTTAAACCCCAGTCCATTCATCTTACTTTAAACAAGACAGGCCAAAGTGACCATATGCCATTTTGTTAAACTTGAAAGTTTTCTTTCAGTTAAGACAACTACAACAATATCTACTACAACAATACCAACAACTACAACAATATCAACTTCTACAACAATACCAGCTACTACAACAATACCAACTACTACAACAATACCAGCTACTATAACCAAACCAACTACTACAACCACACCAACTATTTCGACCAGTACAACAACTACTTCTATAACCGCACCGACTACTACCACGTTTACAACGTCCCCAACGCACAAGCCAACAATCGGGACAACCTTACTAACGACCATGATAAAACTAACTACGCAGTCCATCACAAAGTTAACTACAACACAGAAAGGTAATTTTTTGTTATTGCTGCCTAAGTTTAAATGAGTTATTTCTATTTTACATATAAAAAAAATTATAATGATTTAATAAACAAGATGGTGGGATCTTTAATGTGATCGACAGAGATAAGGACGTGAAATATAGTGCAACTGAATAAACGTCATAGATATAAAAAGATGTGGTATGAGTGCCAATGAGACAACTCTCCATCCAAGTAAAATTTGTAAAAGTAAACCATTATAGACCAAAGTACGACCTTCACACGGAGCCGTGGTTCACACCGAACAGCAAGCTATAAAGTGCCCTAAAAATGACTAGTGTAAAACCATTCAAACAGGAAAACCAACGGTCTAATCTATATAAAAAACGAGAAACGAGAAACACTTATGAACCCCATCAACAAAGGACAACCACTGACCATCAGGTTCCTGACTTAGGACATGTGCAAGCAAATGCAGCGGGTTTGAACGTTTTATCTAGTACCAACCTTTACCCTAACCTGAGAAAGTGGTGTAACAATACGACATAAAAGGACACAAAATTAAAAAATAATTGAAAAAAGGCTCAACTCATCAAAGCATGAATACTAACAGATTTTAGACAAAAGTTAGACCATGGAAACCAAATTACCAAATAATTAAATTATAAATCACAGAAAAATATATCAAAGCCAAAACAAGAATGAAATAATTTTGACAAACAACCGGTCACTTATGAACCACTCAAAAAGAGCTTTTTTGAGGATTTCGAAGGGTCATGTTTGGTAGGGACAGACATCTGAATAAAATAGAGAATATTAACAGTGGTGAAATGTTTACCGTCACATATCACATGATCTAATATTTTAAATAAAAGAACATAAATATATTAATTCTGTAAATTTTGTATAATTTGAAGAATTTCCTAATTCATGCAAATGTTATTTCTTTAGAAACAACAGCATATATTTGTTCCTTTTTCAGAGTTATTTTCTTTCGGTCAACGGACTTTATCAACCTCAACTGCCTCATATCTGGACTTACATCTAGAAATTGACAATGAGGTTCGGTTGAAAACAAAACTTCACAACAAAAGAGATGATTTCAGCTTTCAATTGTGAACTTTCCATTTCTATGTAGCAACATTCCAGCAGCGCCTGCATACGGAGTATATATCTCCCAGTTGATATAATATTCCAGGGCTTGTATTTCCTATCATGATTTCCTTGATAGAGGGTAACTGCTCACAAGGAAGCTATTAAAGCAAGAGTTCCAAGTAGTGAGGTTGAAATCATTCCTTCGTAAATTTTACGGACGCCATCACGAGTTGGTTGGCCATTATGGAATATCCGTTTCACAGATGATAGCGGATATGTTCCAAATGTCGTAACTACAATCCATTCCCCTTTTCCCCGAATGTGACCTACCAAATTATACTTATTACTGGGTTCGTACTAGCATGAGCAACACGACGGGTGCCACATGAGGAGCAGGATCTGCTTACCCTGCACCTGAGATCACCCCCAGTTTTTGGTGGGTTCGTGTTTCTCAGTCTTTAGTTTTCTATGTTGTCTTTTGTGTACTTTTATTTGTCTGTTTGTCTTTTTTTTCTTTTTAGCCATGACGTTGTCAGTTTATTTTCGACTTATGAGTTTGAATGCCCCTTTGGTATCTTTTGCCTCTCTTACAAAACTAATAAAAGGAGATTCGACTACAGTCAATTTGGTAGGGATAGTTTAAACCTTAGTTTTTATAAAACGTACCAATATATATGGATGAAAATAAGTTAAATTGTCCTAAGTCAGGAGCCTGTATTCAGTAGTTGTCGTTTGTTGCTGTATATCATATTTGATTTTCGTTCATTATTTTTTACATAAATCTTATGTGTATTTGACATTATGCATACGTTGTATTTGACATTATGCATACGTTGTATTTGACATTATGCATGCGCTGTATTAGCCATACTAAGTAGGGAATTATAATTGAATGATTGTACAAACCTCAAGTTTTTGTTGTTGTCATTAATCATTAGTGACAGGCCTCTAAACAAACACAAAAACATATCTTAAATTTAATTCATCACAAACCTACTCGGAAATGTGGATGAGTTATTGTGAAAACAAGTCAGACACTTCTCCCAATAATTCATGAAATACACAGTATCTTGTAGTAAACAAAGATGTCACGTGGACTACATAAAAGGGCAATGACAATTCATAAGCAGAAGAGAAACCGACAACACCATGACAAAATACGAACCACAACATAGAAAACTATAGACTAAATAACAAGAGCCCCTCCAAAAACCGTGGGTGAACTCAGTGCTCCGGGAGGGTAAAACTCGTTTACTAGTCATAATAAATTCTTGTCGTTTTGGTAGTAAATATTGATGTTCAGCAATTCATTTGATGAGAAAACATATTGTAAATTCATAAACATTTTTACAGGGAATGGTTTATCAAGCTGCGTAGGAAATCGTTGTCAGCATGGAGTATGTATACCAATGGATCATCAATATTTTTGTCTGTGTCCTCCTGGATATGAGGGACAAAACTGTGACAAAGGTATGTACAATTAAGACACAAAAATAGGTGCTATACAAAATTGTATACTTTATTCATTTGAAAAAAATAGCTGACAATATATCTTAAAATATAGATAATATATGTAGATATATAACAATAAATATTTGTCCCAGAAATACACGTAAAATGATGATTAAAAAAAAAATTTCAGATTCAAAATGTGAATAACATATATTTTTTTTTATTTCGAAAATCTGTAAATATAAGAATTGAAGGGCAGGCTGTGGAATGTGTTTTCACATCTTTGTCCTTTGGTCTTTGCTGTATAGTTGTCTTATTGGCAATATTTCAACATGTCTTTATCCTTATAAACTTATAGTTGTCGGATTTACTTTTAATTGATCGTTATTATAATTAAGTACATGACATCTATACATGTGCACAATAATCTCAATATATAGCAGTATAATTTCTGGAATTACATATAACGTATACACTTGTGTCATCAGATTATTGAAGAAAAATACTCAAAAACTTTTGTCAGCAACATCCCCACCGTGATCTCCACCATAAAAAGAATAAAAATGACGCATTAAGAAAACCGTCTTATAAGTAAGAACAACAAAAATATAGAGGTACAGGAAACAGTATGTTTTATATAATGTAATCATTAACATAAGACTTCAAGTGACAGTAAATAATACGAAATAACATTGAAAAAAAATACTGAATTTTAATATATTTAAAACAGACATTGATGACTGTGCCAGCGGCCCATGTCAGTACGGGACATGCCATGACAAAGTTGATGATTTTCATTGTGATTGTGTTTTCTTCTTCAAAGGCAAAATGTGTAACAAACGTAAGTAAATTAATTAAATACTAAGGACACGTGTGTGAATGCCACGTACATGTAGCTAGCAAGTGACTCTTCAGACTATATGGATCAATCATAAACGGTCTACAATCCTTGAGCAGTGTTTCAGAGTGTATTACAATTTTCAAAAAGTGAAATTATGATTACAAGGTCAAGTTTATCCACTGATATACGCAGAAAATAATATTTAGATCTAAATGTAGATATCTGAGAATAAATATTTTATATACACTTTTTGTGCAATTTGATTATACGTCTGCCATTTTTTTTAAATGAGAATTTTGATAAAACAATATTACTGTTGATATAAACAAGTTGAGCTATTGCTCACCATTGATACCCCTGCTATACGTATTCGGTAAACACGAAGTAGATGTGCGCTGCATGTGAAAGCGCATCACACGATACAACATTTTCACGTGAAGCTAGATAAAGTATAACTGGAAGGTCTGATTAATAGTTCCCGAGAAAAATGTGTCAAAATTCATACATGGCTATTATGTATAAGAATATATAATAATTCGGTAAACAGGAAGTTCATGAGCGAAGATAATGCACCAAGCGGTATAGCATAACAACGGTAAAGCTTGCTACCAAATTTCAAGAAAGTCTGATGTGTAGTTCCTGACAAAAAGACAAAATGAATGTCATGGAACGGACGAACAAAAACACGGACAGAGGTAAACCAGTTATCTCACCTCCTTTGGAACAGTGGTATACAAAACAGATTGAAAAGTTCCTTTGATTCATGCAAGCCTCAGATGGACAATTCAGAGTATGCAAGTGAATAAAAATGAAGAATAGTATATTAATGAGACAATACAAAACAACCATATGAAGGACATCAAGAGTGGAGCACACGCACTTATCAAATTTGGATTTAACAATGAGTAAACCTCGAGGATATTGCAATACCGCTAGAATAAGGAGTTTAAAAATTTTTCTGTAAATTTTAACGATGGATCATCGTTATATATTTTCTCAGATATAATTTTCTTATACTTTACCAAAAAATTGAATTTATCATGCTTTTTTTCAAAAATTAAATAACAAGTATGGGTTACCGTGCTATTTTTCAAGCAACAAGTCGTGCAAAATTGCCCATAGATTATTCCTTTTTTTTTGTAAATTAAAAGAAATCTATAAGAGGGAATTTTTATAAAAATTGAGAAACTATATAGGTATTATGATATGCTTTAACGAATGAAAAGAAAAAATGGTGTCACCGAACTTGTTTTCGGGCCACAAGTCATAAATAAACTTTTTATTAACGTTCCTTTATAAATATTATACTATAAGAGTTTTCTCCCCTTATATGGCTAAGTTGAAAAATTGAATCGAACAAAAAAAGATATTTGGTATTTGTTAAAACAGTCTAAATAGTCCAATAAATCACTTCTTTTCCTTTATTTGAATAAAAAGTCCTACAATTTAATTGCCAATCTGTCTCAAAACTTGAAGATTTAAGCAAAGAACTAGACCGATAGTGTACAGCTATTTACGATAGCGTTTGATTTTGTCAGTTTTTATGGACTTCCCCTTTTTGATTTTGCCTTGGAGTTCGGTATTTTGGCAAACTTTTTTTTATAATCCAAGATGGCGGTATACTGTTAATCTACTTTAAATAAGGAAAATATGAATGCAATTTACAATATTTTTTTTGAATAAAAATATGAATGCTTAATTGTTTAAGACATGCACGATAAAGTAAGTTACGATATTTGAATATATTTGTAGTTACATCATGGGCCATAGCATTTATAGCATTAGCATCTTTAGCGGTTCTTCTAACTTGTTGTTGTTGCTGGTGGATTATGGGAATGTAAGTGCATATTATTCCATGTAGAAAAAATATATTGTTTATTCATATTTCAATACATTCCTGAAAAAGAAGAAAGTAAAGGCACTTTTAAAAGTCGTTTAGACTTAATCTATTTCTTTTGCCTATTTTATTTATACATGCAGTGTAGGATAAATATGAAATTGTCTATAGAAATGAACCGATATTTCTAAGCTTGTTATTTTCGACGTTGAAGCAAATTAGCTTTGGATTACTGGAAACTGAAGAGTTTATTGCATATGAGAGATAGTCGTGCATTTTGTAAAAAAAACTATGTTATACGTATATTTTGTGTATAATATAATATAGCACGTGTGAAATGATTAAACTGTGTGCACATTCAAATACAATACACTTACATTTCTCCTTTTTTCAGTTGTAACAGGGACGAAGAAAAGACAAAAGTTAAACCTATGAAGGAAAAGATTAAACCGAAACCAACGGAGAGACAACCACGATATGATAGATGGTGATGGAGTTCGAAGCCATAAATAATAAATACTTTTATTTTAGAAAGATTAAGGCTTGTTGTGTGTTCGACGTCTTGACAGAAACCATCCTACTACAAAGTATAACCCATTTAAACGCCAAAATTGTAGTATATTTTAGTGACACAATTCAATCTTTAAAATAAATATATTTTCCTTCTTAACAATATAAAAAACTAAATTTTAATATCCAGTAAGCAAAATATCAAAATGTCATATTTATTTAAATGCAGCACTTATAGTCTGAATACCAATCATTTCGTATTTAATTACTGTTTTAAAACTCCACTGTACCAGTCCGTTCTAGTCTGGAATATTGAAAATAACACTACGGAAAAGTTAAATTAAACAATTGTTCGTGTTGCCCAGTCTTTAGTTTTCTATGTTGTGTTTTGTGTACTATTGTTTGTCTGTTTCTTTTTTAGCCATGGCGTTGTCAGTTTATTTTCGACTTATGAGTTTGAATGTCCCTCTGGTATCTTTCGCCTCTCTTTTGAAATATTTTAACCCTTGAAAACTCATCATATTTACTGAACATCTCTGTGATTTTGTTGTTGTTTCAATACTTTGTCAATCCCATAATGGTATCTGAATCATATTGCACTTTTTTTTCATTAGTTTGCTTCAAAACATTTATTCTCATGTTTAAACAAATTGTAAACGTAAAACAACTTTATAATTAAACCAGCATTCATTACTGTTCTCGATTTTTTAGTATGGTGAGCCGAAAGCTTTTTCGTTATAAAAGGTTTAATTATTGCTGTCTATTCTTGACTTGTTTTAAATAATGTCACTTAGGTAAATTCAGTTCTACGGTAAAATAAGATATTATAATTAAATGTGCCCACGACCATCGCTTTAACAACCCTGTAAATAACAAAAACAAGAAGAGAAAGTGCTAGCCAATGCCATGCAATAGTCTAAGTGCCATAATATTGTTGGACTATTTTTAATTGAAATTTATCATAGCAGCCCAGTTTTAAATGTATATATATCTTAGCTGATTTAAAATACGTGATCCTATTGCAGGTCATTGAAAAAAAAGATAAAGTTTGCCTACATACAATAGAAAATCAACAGAGAAGCAGATTCCATCGCTGTATCACGGACGGGTTCAAAATTATATTCTTCCAAACTCAACAGTTAGATACAGCATAATCTGCATTATTTTATGGTTGTGGCCCGTTATCTATTTGAAAGTGGAGATTGCGAAGTCGAAAATATTTCACTAGCACAAAGATATTTTTTACTAATTTGAAACTCGTGAAAATTGGATACTCGAGTTGATATCAAGCGATATTTTTACTCGTTAAGAAATCTATAATCTCATAAATTTCATACGTTTTATTGTGTTTGATATCGATATCAGTCCCGGCTTTGCCCGAGCTGTAGATAATACAGGCGTATCGTATACCTGTTCGGATATTGTATATCACTTGTGTTCATTTCACTGGAGCAAACAAAGCTTAGATAAAGTAGATGTGCTTTAGCTAAATTTTAATTAATTCGAATGTTGGTATCCAAAACTGTTTGAATCGGAATTGACAAGGATTGAAGGCTTTCTTAACCAATAAAAAAACCTGACCATCATGATATCGCCAAGAGCGACGAAAGTGGCGCTTAACATCAACAATGGAGCATTCAATCATGTGAAATAAACAATAATTTGGTGAAAATAAAAATTGATGAATGGTGACATTTTTGCGTAGTTTAGTCAAACAGATAAAAGAACAGGAAACCATGCAGTCTTAAAACAAAATGCTAATTACATGTAGTAAGAATATAAATTGTGTACTAGATTGCAACGGGCAGTCGGAGGAGAATACCACGATTATTACCATTAGACTATAGCAAGAACGATTAAGCCAAAGTGATATTAATTTGATATCTAAATACTTTGTTAGCTTGTCGTTTTCAGTGGAATGACATCAATACATTGCATATGAGTATTAAAAAGGCCGGGATTTTAATTTTTGATTTTGACGTTATCGAACCCTTCTGAAATGACGATGACATCTATTCATAAAAAGGCTGATATATTAAATCAACTCACCTGGGAGACACACATTAATTACTTACATTACAACACTGTCATATAAACTGCAGGAATTTTGTAAAAAAATAAGATTAAGTGGTATTAAAAAATAAATCATATAATAACTTTTAACATAAAGTGTACCTCCCTTGTCAATAAATACGTGACGATACATTTGGGAAAAACTCAATTATTGTCAAAAAGTCGACAAACTTTATATTTTCAATAAGTAACAAACAAGTGTCATGCGGTGATAACACATTTTAGACAATGAAACCGATTTTCTGTTTATACTAAACCATTCTCTTTGGCCTACGGAGAGTAAGCTCATTATTTATGAACTCATAGAAAATAACACGCACTAGCACATGTATAAAAAACATGGAAGTGATATATGTGTCCACATAGGTATAAGAAATTATTTAGCATTTTCGGACGTTCAATTTGAAATACATTTACAACTAAGCAACCTTGTCGCTTAGACCAACTGACTTTTCGCATGATTTATTGTATGAAACCTCTTTGTGGCGGGTCCAGGGTTTTCAGTATGGAGATGGTCAGGGGCGTAGAAAATCTCTTGTTTTTTTAAAGAGGCGGGTTCAATGTATGCAATTCAAGTGATCCGCCTCTGCCTGGAGATAATGGTTAGAATCGATTTCAATTTATCAGTCAATTTTGTTGCCAAGTCATTATACTGAATTCAAGAATAAAGTAGATGGCAACAAGCATGTTCCTATTATATTACTAAAAGGTAAATATAAGTTACTCAACCCTTCCTTTCTTTTAGTGCAATATATTTTAAATGGGTAATTTTAGGATTTTTAAATACTCTGTCTGCTTGTGGAATTACTAAATACCTTTATATTGAGGGGTTAATTTCTTCAAATAATCACTCTGGCATTGAAATAAAGATCCGATACTAGTATTTCGTATTTATATTTAAATATCATAGACAATACCTTACCCTATTTTTATCTTATGAATTCAACATTTTATCACTCTAAAAATGAAATGACTACAAAATATTACTTAAGACCAAAACAGCAACAAAAATAGCGTTTAATTAAGCAATAATTGAGTAAAAGAGTACAAACAATATAGTTAGTCTTTCCGGTTAATTCTCTATTCAAGATAGTTAAATTCTTAACCTTAGAGGTGAGTTATCCGTTTACAGTGTTTGAATAAATTTTTCTAATGAAATGACCTGTCACTCAGTAATAAGATTTTCCTGTACCTGATATACTTTTTTCAATGGGAAATTGGCTTAATGATTTTTATCTTAAATAACAACATATCTGTTTTGTCAAAAGAAACAACATGTCTATAAACTTAATTAGAACATTGAAATCCGAAAGAAAAGTACATTTGTCTGTAACTGTACACATAACGGAGAGATACCACGCAATTCACATTGGAAATCTTTACTTTAATGATTTTCATTCTATTTGAACCCAAAAAGTAAAAGCCGACGTATATGTATAGAAAAAAAAAGATTTACGTAAAATAGTATTTAATACAACATCTATGTTATCCATTTTTAATTAAGTCGGTTGAGACAAAACCAGTTAAAAAACATTTAAAGGTAAAAGAGCAGAATGAAAAACTTTCTGTTTATTTTCTCTTGCATTTATATCTTCTGTTATTTTGTGTTTGAACTATGTTGTGCATGTGGATCAGGAAGCATTTTTTGTTCAGTGGAACAATGGGTTCCATGGGGCCTTTGCAATTCTACATGTGGAGGAGGAGTACAGGAGAGACAGAAGTCTATCTGTTGTGACTCCAGATATCATTCACTGAAAGAATGCTTAAACGGTTGTAACATTCCATTCAGTTGGTGGCAGGCAAATGCAACAGAATACAAAACCTGTGGAAACTGTCAGAGAGGAGGAACGTTCAATATCGATCAAAATCAATGCATCTGTCCTTATGGCTTTGGAGGATCTTGCTGTGATTGTAAGTGTTACAATGTAGACACCTAAATGTGAAACTTTTAAATTATTAATACATACAATCAGTATAATTTATGCTCCGAGTCCTTGTAATGCTTCAATGAAAATAACACTTTCGAAAACTAAGTATGTCTGAAGCTTTTATCTGGATTTAACTTCATCAGTTACGCTCAAACCCCCCAAAAAAAATAATTCAAGGATGTATGAATACATACAAACGTGAAGAGCAATATCATCAGTTATGCTCAAACTCAAAATTGTTTAATCCAAGGATGTATGAATACCTACAAACGTGAAGAGCTATATGACCAAACGGACCTTAATAAATAGCCAAATTCATTTAAGGTCAACTTTGCATGAAGGAGTTGGAACCTTAGTTTCTGCTACAACGGTTGCAATCTTTCTTATATAAGTAAGTAACAATCAAGGAAAGTTTTGACTTTGTTACATTTTTTTTTTTTACAATGCAACTTGAACAATATCATAAAAAGCAGGTTTTAACTTAACATCGAGTTTTAGAAATTTTGATCTTGACATATTCTAGTAGACTTTTAGTCAATGAAGGTAAAGGTATCGACTTTATATGTAATGATGTTGTAGAGATTCAGAAATGTAAGATTATCGCCAACCCCCTCCATAATAGAAGATAATTATATTCCTTATTGCGTTAAACTATTTAAAGTTGAAATTTAAGTTGATAGATTGTACTTAATATCTTGGTAATTTTGGACTTAATATCATGGTCATTTTGTACTTGATATCATGGTCACGGCTGCTACATTTAGACTAAAAACATAGAAATGTTAGTGGCAATTTAGTGGTTTATGGTCTCTTTATTTGTTAAACTTTTAGAATTTAATAACATGTATACTAAAATCTAATAAAAGAGAAGGGAGGATTTTGTTTTAAGATCTGTTGGTCTAAAGTAAAAATGACAGTTTCTAAGGCTAGCTATACATAGTATGAAGTTCATCAAAGTTTTAGTTTTTAGATTTCATTTTTTAATA